TGGAGTTAGCTCTCAGAAACACAATCCAAGATCCTATAATTTAGATATCTCAAATCTGTAGATAGCTCATGCTAACCACTTATCAAGCAAGAAAAAACACCTTGGTTTTCAACCAACATCATTGGAAAGCCAAGATCTGCTTGATCCACATTTGTAATCTTTCCAAATGCCCATGCTTTTTAGTGTGATGAATCAAGACTTGTGTATTGTCACACTACAGGTACATGAGATGAAGCAAGCCACGAAGAGAGAGAAAGGGCCATGGAAGTATATCCATGTATCACGGGCTACACGAAGGTGATAAGATTGGAGCAAAATTCACTCTTGGATAGAGTGATGGATCTGAATTCACTCACTTGGTTGCTGGTCACATGCATTCTTTATTAGATGTATTTATATTCAGAGTGAATGAAATTAAGGTGGAAGCACACGATGCTTCTTAGGGACATTTCGACCAGGTTCATCTATCAATATTCAACACTTTGCACTTCACACTAAATGTTGGGGGACAAGATGCCATGCAATTTAACGAAAGTTGAATCCAGGTAAATCTATGCTTAAATTGTCACAGATCAAACAAAGCAGGACTCATATCATATGAATTCATGCAGACACAACGACAACAACAACCAACTACATGGATGATCTAGGATATCATCGCCAAGCAAATAGTTGAAGCAGTGTAGAAGTCAACACATAAGTATCATCAAGGAGAGATCCTAACTCAGGGTTGTTTGTAGTTAACTATCCTTTTATCATGGTCAATCAACTAAGCAAGAAGCTGAGTGATCAGGTTTTGAATTTTCTACTAAAGTACAAAGATGTGTTTGCTTTCTCTTTGACAAATTTAGTTAAGTGCAAGGTAATGAGATTCTCCATCAATCTGGTTGATGAAAAACCAATTTACAAGAGAAGACATCGTTTGATAACATGAATGGCAGCTGATGGACGAGAGATGCAAGGAGCTTCACGATACAAGACTCATCCAACCCTTTAACTCTGATTTTGCATCTACTATAGTTATGCCAACAAAGAAGTACAGTAGCGGTTTGTGGACTGAGACGTAGACATGGTGTGAAAATGCCCAACAAGCTTTCAACTTGCCTTAACAAAAGCTCGCATAGTACCCTGTACTTAGAAGACATGATTTCAGCAAAATTTTTCATCCTACACACCTACTAGAGTGCCTTAGGCATTGGGAGCATACTAGGTTAACACAATGAGTAGGGCAAGAAGTATGTCATTGCTTTTGCATTTAGAAGCAATAATGAGGCCAAAAGCAACTACTCCTCCTACGAAGGTGAATGTTTTGCTTTCGTATGGACTGTTATACACTTTAGGCCCTACCTTGATGTCACTAAGTTTACCATGTACATCGTTCATCAACCATTCAAGTGGCTAATGATCAATGACAAGCTCACCGACAAGCTAGCTCGTTGGACACTCATTTTGCAAGAATACAAATTTAATGTGATTCACAAACATGTTGTCACTCACCAGAACGTGAACATTATCTCTAGGAGCCCATTGATCACTTTTAGGTATACCTCGGATGCAAGACAAGACTTTGATGAACTTGTTTTGGAAGCCCGGTCACATGCATCTAGCTACTTATTCTTGGTGCAAATATGCAGGTGATTAACGTGTGTTTGATATATGGGACGACGTGCGTCGTGCGATTATGTATCGTCATACAACCTACATCGCTGGCATGTCCTAATTACATACACATACATAAAAAATGAAAGTGTAAACAAAAAAATGTATCACAACTCAAAGAATTGTAAATTCTTCGAGTACGTGTGTTTATACTCTTCAACCGCAGTGATATAACCTATACTTTACCTAGGTTTAACTCAACTAAAGTTAATCCTAACCAATGCTAATTATAGACAACATGTAGACACATGACACATGTACACTTTGAGATTGTTGCAGCGTGGAGAATACCTTCCTCAAGTTACTTCAGATTAGAGATATTGTATCTAGCAACGATCTAAGGGCTATCCATGAAAGTACAACCACCTAGTTTGGCGCTTGCTTCAAGGTTATAGAGTGACTTTTCCATCATATGAGAGGGCTGAACTGCTCAAAAAGGTACACTCAGAGCTTGAGCACTTTGATAAGAGTCTCATTCTTAGCCTGGTGTGTCCTCATTATTATTGGAGAGATATAAACACTTAATTTGTAGGGTGCTGGCTAGATGTGAGGAATGCGACATGATGAGAACTTCTTTTTGCTCCCGGCATGTCACACTTCACCCACTAACTATCATGAGCTTGTTCTATCGCTGATCTTGTGATTAAGCTGGTGAGCTATCCATTATCAGCAGAATTAATATCTACATCTTGATCATGATAGAGCATTTCTCTAAGTGGATTGAATTAGTTGTCCTGCCGGATAAGACCTTTCAAAGTACAAGCCAGACTTTTCTCCAACAAGTTCTTAGCAGGTTCAGAGCATGTGCAGAGTGCCTCACTGATCAAAGATACAAGTTCAGAGGTGAATCTACTTGATCATGCCTTAATTGATCATTAGCACACTTCAAGAGATCATATGCAAACTAATGGACTTGCCAAAAGGATGGTGCAAATTTGCAAGAAGTAATTGCAAAAACTTTATCTCACATAAAAAAGAAGTATTGGTATCTAGCTCTACCATGTTTTGCAATGGGGTATCGAATGTCCATGCATGCATACCTCTCACAATTCACTCCTTATTTGCTTTTGTTTGGAAGACATCCTTCTTCTGCTACCATTGATTCACAAATGAACCAAGTTGTGGACTTAGATTTTGAGTCCACATGGGCTATTTTAGAGAGTAATGCTCTATTTAAAAGATTTATGCCAATGGCTATGGAGAACTTGCAGATTGCAAAGCATCGGAACACATTGAGGTATGCTTGCACAAGAAATGATGGCTACAAGCCAAAGGTGCGGCAATTTCAAGTTGGTGATTTTGTTCATCTACAAAGGCAGTCCAATATTACCCCAGATACTTCTACTAGTCGCATCATTCTTCGTGTAAAAGCAACTAGGCCTTCATGCGACAAACAGAAACTCCATTATGGATCACTCCAAAAACTACACACCATGCCACTTGACTAACTTGGATCCTATCCTTGTTACCTCCACTTGATAATCTGTATCAGATATGTCAGAGGATATATGATGCTGATCGAATGCTGTTATGCGACAATTGCAATGCAGATTATCATATGTTTTGCCTTACACCAAAGCTCCCACAAGTTCCATTAGGCTTGTGGTATTCTTCTAGCTGTACTCCATAGTTATCTTTTGTTTTTTAGACCTCTGATATGCAATATTCTCAGGTCTGGGGGATACATAATGCTTTTATTTATGTACTTATTCCCTTCAGTTTACTACTAGCTTGAACTTCTTTCGTTTAGACAGCACGCACAACATTGGATATAGGTTCAGGTTTGTGCACTAGTATCATTGTTGGTATTAGTATTAAGTTTTGATTGACCTACAGTAAACAAGGCTATCGAAGATTGTCTATGCTAAAATTTTGATTTTCAGACTATACGATAATATTATGTTACGATATTATATGTCACGACAGGAGGAGATGACAACTTTTTTCAACTTTAAAATTTATAGTAGCTTCCTAGCAATATATACAGAGAATCTCCGATTGCGACTACTTTTTCAGTATAAACAATACTTTTAGTTTTCTTGCTTAGGGTGTTATTACTTCCAATTTTGAAGCTTCGAGTGCTATTTCGAGTGGTATATGAGTTACCTTCCACAAGAACTATCATTTACTTGAAACTCTTTTCCAACGAGGCATAAGTAGGCTTACCGTGAGTAGGATGTTTGAAATTGAGGGAATTTTTAATCTGATTAAACTAACGTCCAAGCTAATGTACACTTTCCATAAAACATGTAATCAACGGTGAATTTTTTTTTAAAAGCTCTTGAACCAATGACTCCACTTTGAAATTATATTCAAAAAAGCACAATTTATATTTTCTAATTTTCTTCTTCTTTGCACTTTTAGGAACCTAAAGAGGTGGACTGGGCTGAACTAACCTGAACATTCTTCTGTCTTCCCGTGGTCTCTCCGGTGTATATTCTCATTACATTATGGCTTCCTACAATAGCAAGAGTCTTATGGCAAGGTTTTCTATAATAATTTGGCTACATTAAACATTGTAAACAAAAAATGGAATCTAAATTTGAACTGTTTGTGACAGTATGCAAAAATGATATCCTGTCACAAAACCATTGTGTTTTGAATCATTTAAAGTATTTTCTGTATTCTATCATATAGTTGATTCCAATCAAGGTATTTAATATAAATATCATCAGCTAGTGTTATCCAATGGAAGATTATTATTATAGATGATAATTGTTTGCATACCATTTCAACTGGATAGTATACTTTAGTTGCATCAAAATATCTCAATAATGGATGCTATGTGTCACATCCCGGTGTTGCTGGTTCGGTGTCATAGCTTCTGGACTCGGTGGGTAATTTGCTATAATACTCTGTGCCGCATGAACCGTGTTTTGTCGGCGTTCGGAGACACGGCTATGATCGCGAGGGCAGTCATTGGGAACCAGCGATTATTATGTGATTAAGCCGTTGTACAATGGTTCAACTTAGTGACCATCAAATTTCTGTCTGGTGCCGCTGAAATTGAAGCCTCTACCAATAAGTGCTGTAGGAAAGTCCGACGTGACTCCGGCTTTGATCCGGCGGACACAAAAGAGTTATCGACGGCTACAGACCCGGTAGAAAGCCACGCTTAGTTCCATGACTCACCAAAGCATGTCGGGAGCTTGTGATTGGCCCTCTCGATCGGTCCTTCGAACTCATTGGCCGATTTGAGGTTTTTGACTCGGACCTACGGGTCCACGTTTCCTCCTCGTCAGAGCAAGCTCTAACCTTGTGTCCCACTACAGTGGAACTGCGTCAAACGAACCCTTATAACTGCAAACGGGATGTTTTGCCGCCGATAATGTACGTAGTAGTAGGTCAGTACGTTGTCAGTCGCAGTGTGTCTGGGCTGGCTTCTCCGGCACAGGCGCCTCTTGAAAGTGCTCGAAGACTTTCGCAGTGTCAAAGGAACTGCATTTCGATTGATGAATGAATCGGCCGACCATATTTGTCATTGACAACTCCTGAGATCGCTCCAATTGTGTGAGAGGTCTTTTTCCTTCTTCTGGAAGGCGAAGAATCCGTCCGAAAGGCGAGATTTTCTGGAGCAGCGGAAGTGGAGTTTTGGTTCACGGAGAAGACGGACGAGGATCGTAAGAGCCAGAGGGGAGCCAATTTGACTGTGAATTATACACAGAGCTGTGCGTAGAACTTGCAGGGCTTCAGGCCTGGGAGGAGAGTAAAAGTTAGACCTCCTCAGCTTTGAGGTCTGTTGTTCTATTTGAAGAAGGTGGGTTTGAGCGGATTGGAACGGGCTTTGATAATCGGTTCTGATCAGGGAAGAGAAGGCAGCGGGATCAGGGAGCGGATAGTCACATTGTGATGAATCGATTTTAGGAACTCTCTGGACAGCTGAACAGGATAACTGGGTGGAGAAGATAGAGAGGATCAGAGAAAAAGGACATGGAGGGCGGATTTGGCGCAGGGCGTGTTCTTGTGTTGGGAGTATGCGTAGCTGGAATATGGAGCGCTTATGTTTATCAGGGAGTTTTGCAGGAAACATTGTAAGTTCTTCTTTTCTGTCCCGATAAACCGTATGCCTGCAGGACTCTCTTCAATAATCATACTTATGTTCTGCACAAAGGAGAGGAAACTCTCCTGAATTACAAATTTTGAGACTAATACAAATCATCTGATTGACTTAACTTGTCCAATGGTCTGTCCAAAGTTTGACACATAGATTTCGCTGAATAATTCTTAAACTGTAAAACATTCTCTTGGTTTTTTATGCATCGTTTGTGTGAGACGAGCTCGATCTGATTTGATTTAAGACCAGTCTTATAATGATTGCCTCTGAAAATGCTGCCTTTAGCTAGTCAAACTGAGTATGGGTTTCGGCTTTTCTCCGCAGATCAACGAAAAAGTTTGGACCTGATGGCCTTAGATTCGAGCACCTTACCTTCCTGGGGTTTGCTCAAAACGTTGTTTGTTTCGCTTGGTCATTTTTGAGTAAGCAATTCTCTTTCTGTATCTGTAATTTCGTGAGCAGCTTCCCGTTCCCGCAGAAATTCAAGTTGCAGTCAAAAAGCATGAAATATGTTTGTGCAACTGGTACAGTATGTGAATTTCGAATTTTATACCGAAATATATGAATGATTCAGGAATGCTCCCCTGACAAGTGTAAGTTGCCTAATTCCAAGAGCAGTGTTGTCGCTGTGGAGTCCGAAAAGACAGTCGCAAGCACCGCTATGGAAGTTCTGGAGTGCCAGCATTTCAAACTCTATCGGACCTGCTTGTGGAATACTTGCCCTAAAATATATCAGCTACCCTGCGCAGGTGTTATACCTGAATGTCTGCCAGCACTTCTATCACCATTCAGTGCATCGTTGTTTTTCCATCATGAATTTGTACATTTGTTCATAGCTAGACATCAAAGAGTGATGACACATTTGAAGGTTGTTTCCTGCAATCATACTTTTATGTTGTACACGAATCGGCTTGGAACGTTCAAAGCTGATTCATCTTCTGTGAACAGGTTCTTGCGAAGTCGTCAAAGATGATTCCAGGTACGTTTCGGGCTATTGATTTTCTTTTCAGTGCTCATCATCATTTCAGTCGATGACTGTTTACATTGCATTTATAGTTCGTTAGTTTGAATGTTTGAAAATTTATAAAAGTGCACTGCTTACCACAACAATGCAGTTTTTCGCCATTGTATATTCATTGTATATCACATGTTATCCTCTATGCGTTCCTACACCTGCCACAGCCAGTGCAAAACACATCAGACACAAGAACAACACGTAGAGAATCTCTAACATTGGGCCTGTTTGCATGACAGTCATGTTAATGGGGGCAATCGTGTACGGTGTCAGATACACCATACCTGAATATCTCTGCACACTTCTTGTTGCTGGTGGTGTCGCTACTTTCGCTCTGTTCAAGGTGGAGTTTCTCTTTCCAGTTATTTAGTGTGTGTTTTCGTTGAGCATCGTATATGTCTCCTAGTCTGTCAAACGGCTCCAGAATCAGTCCGTGAAGTAACTATGGTTATCATCGATATTGTAGGTTTTTGCGAACAATATGTTAAGTGTGACACCATTGTAGTCATTTTACCTGGAGTATCTTACGTGGTTTTGTTGTCTTTTTTCAGAGCAGCAGAAAGTCAATTAGTAAGATTGCAAGCCCCAACGCTCCTTTGGGATACACGCTTTGCTTCATTAATTTGGGCCTAGATGGATTCACAAATGCAACACAAGATTCTATAACCTCCAAGTACGTAACCTTCTCATGTCTGATTTGGTCTCCTGGCGCAATTAATTTGAAGTGCTGTAGCTACAGTGAGCCTACTGAGCTGAGTGAAACATTTTTCAAACCGCAGGTATCCGAAGACGAGTGCATGGCACATCATGCTAGGGATGAATCTTTGGGGATCCGTATATATGGCAATTTATATGTTTGTCATAACAAACGGAGGCTTTGAGGCTGTGGAGTTTTGCAGGAGTCACCCCGAAGCGTTTCGGGACATTCTCTTGTTTTGCCTTTGTGGTGCTGTCGGGCAAAACTTCATATTCTTGACAATCAGCCGGTTTGGTGCCCTTACTAATACCACCATCACTACCACACGCAAATTCGTCAGTATTCTGGTTTCTGCTCTTTGGAATGGAAACCCCTTGAGCTTCGAGCAGTGGACCGGAGTGGTCATGGTATTCCTGGGGCTCACCTACCAGATTGTTTTAAAGTGGCAGAAAAGAAAGTCCAAAGGCAGCTCCAAACTTGATGCTGCTGCTTTAAAGAAAGCATAGGATGCCTAATTTTACAAATCTATAAATTAAGGTATACCAGTTTTTAGATCCCCCAGTTTTGACCCAAAATGGCTATCGAAATGCCACTCTCTCATGTATTACCGAAGGTAAGCATTCAAATGATTAAGCGTCATTGTCTAAACTTCTGATTCATGTTTGATGTTCTTCTGCTTTTGACTCCTGGGCTCCACTCCCACGATAACGTGATAGCATCGTCCATTACCTATCTTGAGTATGCACCACCATGGACAAATTACCTGAAGTCTTTACACCAGCGTGCAAATTTCATGCAGTTGCTCTTGAAGCTGGTCCGGTATTCCTCTACTAAAGGAATTATGTGCAGTTCCAATCAGCGGATCATAAATGTCGGTGGCTTTTGTTTTGAGAAGCGAGTAAAGCGAGGGCCACGTGTCACGCCCCTGCCGCTCATTGTCACTGTGCCACCCTTTGGAAGTCATCACGCCGCTAAATGGCTCTCCTTCGGTAAGAAGAGAGCGCAACGGTCTGGTGAAATTCTCCAGTTCGCACGAACGAGGAGGATATGTCTGTCACTACATTTAGACTTAGGGGTTCCCTGGTTCTCGGAAGGGTCATGCATTGCAAGAAGAACCGATCATACAATAAAAACTCCCGGACCAAGCAATTCATCGAATCCACGTCGTTGAGCGCACATCCTCCTATCATCCATCCATGTTCACAGACCACCGAGACTGACGAGAAAAAGGCAAGCGACGACCACACGCCTCACACGAAAAACAACACATCCGATAACGTGAGCCTCATGTGCTCCATCGGCGGCGCAGAATCACTCCGCCTCCGCTTCCTCTGCATCGAGCATGGCTCACACTTTCCACCCCCGATGAAGACAGATCAGAGCTCCTGCAGCAGCAGCAGGACACTTCAAAGCTTGAATCATCCGCGCAATACCATGGATACTAAATTCCGAAAGTGCGCACGGGCGATCAAGGCCGAGACGCAAATGCGCAGTTGCGAGTACGGTCCTCGTCGTTCGCCTCGCTCCCTCACGTACGAACCCAGCTGGAGATGGCCAGGACGTCGAGGTCAACCTTATAGACAGGCTATGCGCCACATTTAGCTGGATATAACCTGGCCCCCGGGCCCCACTCCGCAGCCCCGACGGCCGACTTCCACGCCCTGGGCCCTCCCCTCTGTCCTTCCGCGGGTTTGAACTCGGCTGCCCCGATATCTCCGTTTCTGCAGTAGCTTTCCTTTTTCTCTTTTTTTGGGCTTTAAATTTTATTTAAAAATGAACATTCCTTGAGCAAGAGGTGCGCTAAAGTTTTTGATTTGGTGCATGAGGTGCAGCATGACTTGTTTACCCCGTATGCCCATGTTACTCGTCTACTTTTCTCCATGTAGGACTGGATGGGGTCTTCCCATTTTTTGTGTGTGGCTGTTTTGGTTTCTATCCATAGAGAGATACTAGCACTTTTCATCAAACAGAGAAATGCATCTTCGAAGTCCCTGCATCTTGAGGAGGTGGAGCAGAAAGCACCCAAACTTATATAATAAATAAATAATTTATTCATGCATACATTAAATTTCATAATTTGCTTCGCACAGAATTTTCTCAGAGAAGAAAATAGAGACTTTGAATTTTGGAACACCTAAATCGAAGAAGAGGTGAAGGCGTTCAATGTTCCTCCGATATGGCTTATCATTGAGAACACTGAAGAGGATATCAAACGCATCTCAATTGTTATGAACGGAGAAGAAGCCAATTTTCATCCATCGGAAGCAAAAGATAAAAGCAGGATTTGAGTTCGGACAAATCGAATGTGGTGTTCGCTACGACCTACAGCAGTGAGAGATATTGCCAACACCTCATCCTGAACGCACTCTGGGTTCAGAGGACGACTTTCCACGCTGGTAGGCAGGCGCTCGCGCGTTCGAACAGGGTCGCCCCGCCAAAGGCGCCTTCGCTCGATGCCAGAAAATCCACACCCGAAAATCATTGTTTTCAAGATAGGGAAGGGGGTACCGCCTGCCGGCACTGGCACCACGTGACGGATATGGCTGGGTCGCTCTTCTTGGACCGTTGCGCAGATTCCCTCCGAGAGTTGGCGGAGCGGAGAGCGGTCAAATCGCCGGCCTCTCCAGCACCGCTCTTGACTTCTTCGAACGCGTCTCTTTCTACGAAGCTCATAGCATTTGTATGTCACTCCAACGAAGGCCTGCCCTCTAATACTTACCATCGACAGTCGCCGAATCGCTCACTTGTGAGTCGTTTCCTCAGATGTTACAAATATATCTATATTTGTAACATATAGATATATTAAATTAATACAAATTATTATTATAATTTGTATGATTATAATAATAATCATATGATCATATGATTAATATGATACAAATTAAATTAAAAAGGGATTCTTCCCAACTCATTCTTGTGAAGAGAGGAGAGAGAGAAGGAGAAACCCCATCAAGGCTTAAATATTGAGACCGAGGGGTGGAAAGAATGAGTAGACCCCATTGAGTGTTCAAAGCCAATAGCATCGCAATAGGAAATATATGTCTACAGCAGTTTTTCAGTGAAAGTGAAACCGATATCACTGTCTACGGGGATTTATCTTTGAACAGGCTACAGTAATAGCTTGCAATGTACAAAATGTTTCATACTTTCCTCTCAATATCCTCACTCCGTCTGATGATTGTCCGCTTGGTAGCAAATACTATCGCACCAAAAGTTATGAAAGGAATTTTCTAAGGACGAGTGAATTCTATCTCCCACCAAATCTGGCAATGAAATTCTAGGTCTCATTGCATTGTAGGTAAAGTGCAAGTCTGATCCTTTGTATCGGCAAACTAAATTTCAGCCCTAAAATAGTGAGTTCGGAATCGGAGCAGCATGTAATCCACTGACTGCAAGAGCAATTGGTCAGTCCACACCAAAACCTCGAATCAAAACCTCTTCTTAATACAAAAAATCGTTGGATGAATTTTATTGAACGAATAAGAGAACTGAATGTACGAAGAAGACTAGAGCTTTGCTTAAATACTTCTGAGTTTCTTGCCCATGTTAATCCTGTGGGATGAATCTAGAGACGAGAGCCAACGTATATGCCAATCGATAGCCTAGACTGATACACTATGAAAAATTGCAAAATGTTATCGTTTGGAACTCCCAAGCAAAATAGGAAAATTGCATATGTCTTCTCAAGGAAGAACATTGTTTTCAGTTGTTCTCAACTATCTCTTTGCAGTATTGGATTGACCCCAAGATGTTAATTGATCCACATATGCCCAACGAAAGAGGCGACTGGTAAGCAAAAGGGAGAATTTTGTCACAGGAGGTCTAATAAACCTAAGATTTTATTTCTGTGTAAGCTTTTTGATACACGAGTTCAAGATTGTCTCACGTAGTAAATATCAGCTGTGCCTAACTTTGTCACTCTGAAGCTGGTATAGAACTGTATGGATACGGAACGGGGACCCATGTAATGATAAAGATTTTATACAACTTCCACACATAAATAAATAAATAAATAAATGTTTATATTGATATTTACATGCAAGCAAAAATATCCCAGACTTCAACTGCTCGGATTAGAGAATGCAAAGTGGAACGCTTGGGAGAAGTACAGCGGCTAGGGGTCAACAGGACCGAAACGAAGGCAGGAGAGCAGGTCTCAAGGGTTGTAAAATCATTGTCAACTAGAGTTTATCTTGTAGCACGAAAATGGCCGAAGAGAAGAAGTCTGCGCGTGAGACGCGTTCGCAATCAGAGTTCGTCGGTCATCACCGGTCACGAACCTGCGGCTGCCGGCGCTCCGGTCGTCCGGCAAGGGGCCGTCCGTTAGGCGAACGGGTATGGGGCAGGGGTGAGGATGGCCGCAGCCTATTTTGGACGAGGATTTTGAACTCTAAAGCCGACGCTCGCATCGTCTTTTCTTTGACCAGCCAGGCCCCGAGCTCAACAGCGCCACACACGCGGCTCCCCTGTCTGCTCTTCTCTCCGACTTTCACGAGGACTGTACTTTTTTGTCTCCTTATTTCCCATTCATTCTCTCGCCCCGGCTCGGCAATCAAACATTCGCTTGCAATAACTCAGAGCGGATTTGGCTGGCGGAGTGGAGTGGAGTGGAGTGCGCTGGACCTGACAAGACCTGCCAGTGTCGATTTGATCGTAACGAGGAAATTTGTTGCAGCCCGATGTGATTTGGAGAGGTGGATTGATGAGAAGTTGAATTGGGGCGATTGGTAATTTTGCATTTAGTGTGCGGTCGAGGGAGAATCTGGTGGAGTGAGGATTAAGAGACGGACGGACGGACGGGGGGTTTTTCGTGGATCGTCGTCGTCGTGGTTTCGTAGAGGGCGAAGATGGAAGCTGCGATGGATTTGATGAGGCGAATGCCTCCTTGTGAATCCGAGAAGGCCTTGCAGTCGCTCGTGCAGCTTCTTCCTCATCTTTCGCAAGATCTCCTTTCGCGCGTCGATCAGCCTTTGCAGGTAATGAGCAGCGACTGTCGCTTCTCGAGTTGCGACTCAATGCGACGCCGTTGCTCTTCATGCTTCAGCTCGCCACTGGACCCCTGCTTCTCTTGCGAGCATTTTGTTTTGGTTCACCGAAGTGTTGGTTAGGACTTTGTCATGCATCATCTAATTTCTTTCATATTCTAGGATTGGGAATCATAAGATTTAATTGACTGAGAATGGTCAGAAAGAAGAGTAGCAGCTTATTTTATTGTTAAAGTCGAACACAAAACTCTGACAAACGGGCTCAAGAAACTTACAAGCACAATGTAACTGAGTTGTACATGTTTCCTCCTCCCACTTCGTGAATCTGTGTCAGTTGGTGCATGCCCTGTTTTGAGGTACTTATAAACAAGAATATGCTGCTGGAGGGTGTTCAGTACTTCTTCTCTTCCGGGAATAACAAATTATCTACCGAATTAGCTCAGAAAGTCGTTCAAATCAATAGTGTCGAGAAACTCTGCGACTGTGAGGACTGAGTGACATATACCTCCGGTCTTTCCGAGTAAAGCGCTTCTCCCTTGAACTGGAAATTTTGCATTGTCTAGTCCCTTTGGACTTTCAATTCGGGAAATATTAACTCGTTGTCCTATCTCGTAGAGTGTACTTTCCTAAAATAGTGTTGCACTCACAAATTAGACTTTTAAATTCCTTCTTTGTAAGTCTGGTAGAATTGCAAAAGTTTTGATCTGCGATAGTCAACGAAAATGTGGAGAATTAAAGTTTTTTGATTCCAAATTCGTGTAGGTGGCAACGGATGAGGAAACTCAGAAGGACTTTCTTTTGTGTGACTATAATCGTGACGGAGACTCCCACAGGTATCAATGCGTTTTCCTCACAAAGTCGTTAAGTTGTTGATTCCACTCAAATTGTCCCTGGTTTCCATTGCAAAATTCTTGCATGTTACCTCAGCATATTGGCACACACACAGACGTTGTCATCGGCCAGCTTATGAACTCTGTCCCCTTCAGAAGCTTAATGGAGTTGCTTCTGAATGCTTTGGGAAGAGCCCCTCATGTAGCCATACTAAAACTAGGCATCTCTCTCATGTAATTTCTTTGTCTTGTCCCAGGTCTCCATGGTCCAGTTTGTATTATCCCCCTCTTGAAGACGGAACGCAACCCTCCAAGGATCTTCGACAGATGGAGATCGAAGCAAACGCCGTATTTGCTATATATCGTGACCAGTGAGGTCCTTCACTTCCCTTCTCTTCTTCTATAATGCGCTTCTATAATGCGGTGCATGTTTGACGTAGTGCTGCTAGGACGTTCAATATTCAATGATGTTGAATTGCACCAGGCCTCACGCCTGCGTTGTGGCTTCATGAACATAGATACTCACTTGCTTCTAATAAGGGAGAGCTTGCTCGCAGGTATTACGAAGGTGGCATCTCTTCAGTATACATGTGGGAACCCGAGGAGGGTGACGGCTTTGCAGCCTGTTTTCTTATAAAGAAAGGTACATCAGTTTCTTTGCGAGAAGCTGGGGGTATTCACTTCCGCTTATACTGAACAAGAATACCTCGGTTAAATGAAAAGCCTTCGCTTCTCACAACCTGACTCTTTTTGGGTTCATTGGCTTCTAGTTTTGAGAACTATATACAATTGACACTCGATATTGGCCTGGATAGATGGATCAGAAGGAGCAGATGGTCGTAGAGGACTCCTTCAACATGGAGTTTGGGATGCCATCCACGTCATTGAGGTAAACCGCGCCACTACTTGTTTCCTTCGTGGTTATGAAGCCAATGGAAAGTGATATGCGCTGTAATGCTGATGTAATCGTAGTATTTCCGTTGCATACGTTTAGCACATCATTGGAAGCAGTTTCGTTAGTCAACTTCATGGTACTGAAAATGGCCGAACTGATCTTCATGACAGGTGGGAGAAGTAGATGAAAACGGCCAAGCTCACTATTGTCTCACGAGTACAGTGATGCTGGCCTTAAGAAGTGAAAATAAAGTGTCAGGAACTTTTAGTATGTCAGGATCAATTACACGTCAGGTTGTTCCTCCAACTTCTTTTGCTTTCGTTTGAATGGGTTTGGGAGCTGATCACATGAGTAGCAACCTAACCACTTATTTGAATTCAACATTCTTGCAATCAATGGGCCACTTCTGTGCTTTTTAAAATACGATGACTTATCCTGATTGTTTGAACACCTTGTTTTTCCTCTGGCAGATGGAAGACACTTTAGACGTAACAGACGGACATATAACCAACATGGGGCGAATGATTGAAGAGATGGAAAGCAAATTGCGAAATGGGCTCGATCAGGTTGGTCATATTGAAATCATTGCAATCAGTTTCTGATAAAGTACTGAATCCCAGGCTCTTGAGCTTGCTTCTTACTCTTGGTTTGCTCTATTTCAGGTCTATTTTGGTAAAACAAAGGAAGTCGTTTCCACTCTGCGGGAGCCTTTGGGAATGATGAGTGCTTCTTCGTTTACGGGCCAGAGCATTCAAAGCAATATTATCAACGATATGCTCAGAAGGGGAATGTAATCAACATGTTCTTCAGGTCTGTAGGTACTGGAGGAACTTTTTTGCCAGCACCCTGCTGTTATGCCAGACGTTGGGAGCGTGGTGTATGCCAGTGGTATCCACATGATTGTCAACTCGCAAGCGCTTAATCATTACGAGTGCTGCTGCATGGCCGGAATTGCACAGTACGTACTGCGTGAGGCTGGTGGTCTTGGTGGATATCGCGGTTTCCTCGTCTAGGTGGGGACAGTAAATATATTTGTGGTGTGAAGATGTACAGTGTGTAGGGTTTACTGCCTAAGTAACGAAAGAAAAGACACAATTTTGAATTCTAGACTGGAGGTCTGATACCACTTGACAGGTCTCCTGAGCGGATTGCTGCAAATCTCAACAGATACGACTTCTGCAACAGTATTGGCTTCAAGTGTTTGCAATACGTTGCTCCAATTACAGTGGGTGAGGATTGTAGCCATGAGCTTCTAAGTTCTCCAGTAAAATCATGTACAAGTTTGGGAGATCACTAAATAGTCTGATTAGATACATTACACGCTGGCGTGTACTTTGATTCCCCTTTTGCTGAAAGTTCGGAAGCTTATGCGAAGCTTGCGCTTGGTGAGAGGCCCACCAGATCTTTTGGAGGAGTCTATTCATTCTGATCGGTTCGTGAGGTTCATGGAAGAGTATAGTCCTTGACTTCTCCACGTTGAGATGGGAAAGCTTGGTACAAGGTACGAGCATGCTTATTTACTAAAACTGATTTTGCTGACCCCAAAAGAAGGTCCGCAATTTGAGATCAGGTGTTGTAGTACCACGTCTGCTTTTTTTCACGGTAAGTCTTTCTGAAAAATAGGTCCTTAAGTTAGAACACTTGGAAGAAGACTTTAAGGTCAGCGTCGGGTTGCTACTTCTACTGAGCTAGCCACAGGGTGCAACCTTGGGCTGGGGATTCTTGGTTGTGCTGCTTTAAAACTTGTCGTGTAATATACGTGAAAGAAAGTCAATCTCTGCCATACGAGCAATGTGGACATGGTGTGTACACACTTTGTGAATGCTTTTCTGCATTGGGGATCCATAGAATTGGACTTACTTCAAAATCATCCTTGCACTTCTGAAGACATTATTTCCAATCTGGCCGTGATGGATGCAGTGGACGAAGGATTTGAATTTTTGTATCGGACTAACAAAAGGCCACTCACTTGGTATGAAGGTTCACAGCACACAATTTTTTCTGCACAGCAAGAAAGTGGAACAGATGTGTAAGTTATTGAGTATATCCATCTGTGTATGATCGTTGGCTTGCACGAGATTCATGGACTTGGAATGATGTTCTCACTTGTTTTGAATATGTACATCGTATTTGTAGAGTTTGTACTGACTGGTAAAGAATGCTTCCGTCAAGAGTTTCATATTTTCGTTTACAGTTTTCGGTTTTAGTTTTGATCCTCAGATAAAATTTACGGATTTGGAGCAAAGAGTCCAATGGGTGCCTATATCATTAAAAATGGGTGCCCACCATATTATTCTTAAGACCTGATGAGACGGACGGGTTTCTTCTTGTTTTAAAACTGGTTCTTTGCAACTGGATATGAAGAGACGGATGGATGAAAAGTAAAAAATCATGACTGAAGGTGTGCTAGAATGCAGAAGATAACTTGAATAGATGGACGACTGGTGGGTGAATATTTTTCAATTGACCAGATTTGTTGGATCATTCACAGTAAATTTCGGCCATATACACCGGCAAAGATTTTGTGATATTTTTGTTTTACATGAGATGTATTGCCAGGAGGCGGGATCCTTCTATTTAAGAATAGGAGTTCTCGTACAAAATAATAATTGCGAGTATACACCTGCAATACAAGGTGGTAGTTTGCAGATCATAGAAAGAGAAGTTGAGGAGTCTCCTAGCGATACAGAGGATGTATTCTTCTCGTTCGAGAACGAGGCTAGTGTCAACTTTCAATTGAACACGTTCAATAATATAGACACATTTCTCTGGTTAGTACCAGCTTGAGCATATATGATCAAGCTGACACTAACCAGAAAAATGTTTCTACAATATTCCGGCCCTTTGGGTGATGTTTGACAGACTAGGATAGGGTACTTTACTTGCCTAGTCCTAGGTAATTAAATTCGGCGAAAGATCTACGAAAGAATATTGGTTTAGAACTCAGCCCTCAATATAGCAACCAAAGAGGTCCTGTAAGTGTGCAAAGCTGAGATGAAAGCATTATGTTTTACGGTTTCGGATGTGATCGATTAGAAACTCTTGGAATAATACATCTGCTTTGATTGCAATAAACAAAGATAAATTTTATCATGTTTGAACTTAGATATGTAATTGCGTAGACCTTAATAGTTACAAAAACGAATTGTTCTCATGGGTATGTATGAGATATGGCTTTATAACAAAATATACATAATTCATGTTATTTTTATTATTAATATTATCATGGGTACGTATGAGATATAGCTTTGTTTAAATGTAATATTCATATCATCCACATGATTTTTGTTATCATAGGAAAATCTAACGATGAATATTACAGTGATAAAACACTTCTATTTTGACACTGATAACATGATTGAAACTTACTGCAACATAGTGTAACAAGAACGTAGTCGTTAGATAGATGGAAGAGAAGAAGATTCATTAAGTCCTATGTTTTACAAAAAAAAATATATCAATTTTAGAATACGGAATGGATAAAAAATTTACGAATTTGATATTAATAAAGATCATTATAAAGAATTTATTAATCTTATACTTGAAATTACAGCATGACTTACGTATTTATTTTTAAATTATATTTTTATTATTATTTTGGTTATAGTTTTTACCAGAAAATTTCTTGAGCCAAAAAAATAACACTCTTATGGATTTCATTAAGTTTAAGTTCATAGATTTTATTCATAAATAAAATGAAATTTTTTTTATCATGACTTTGATGTAAAACTATAGCGAACAAAATGAAAACCTGAAGGTTTGTGCTAGATCATAATCAACTGAATGAAAAATCACTGGAACTGGTTAAACCAGATTGTGAAGAACATTCATGGGTTTTGAGCTGCAGTTGTAGTTATCTGTCGATATAATTTGATGAAAACTTCACGTGCGTAAGGAGGTATGGATGATCTGGCTGAAATTTTTTTGGCAGATCATTCTATATGGATGAGGCTCTCTTCATTTTATTAATGTAGTGTAATGTTTTATATTATGTGCTTGTTTCTTTTTTATTTTGAAGGAACACATTTTCTACAATATAATGAGATCTTTCATCTATGATTAGCCCTCACAAGTGTTAAAACATAGTGTAGACGGAAGAGTACAGAGGTTGAAAAGTTTATTGAAGATTTGAATTATTTTGGGTTGAGAACTATGTATATTAAGAACTTGAGTACGGAGTACAGTCAGAATGAACTATAGCAGTTACATCACGCAGTAGATATACACCCTAACCTCGATAAAGTGTGACACCCTCCGTTTCACCATAAAGTGTGATATAAACAAGGTGTGACATTTTCGATAATGTCACATTTTGAAAATTTGTACATAATGTGATATTATCGAAAAAAAGTAAAAAAATCAGAATAAAATTACAATGCAAAAAAAAAAAATAACAATTGAAAGACTTCAAATTTTTTAGATGTAAAATATAATTCAAAATGGTGAATGAGAAGGTTGGTGCAAGGGGGCGTCTCACGACACTCAGAATAGCATTTCGTTTATCACAGGACCGTCTCATGACCCTTTTGTTACTATAGAATCCATCCATACTTGATATTATCACACTTACACTAAAGATTGATCTTTTTGTTACTATACAATCCATCGATACTTGATATTATCACACTTACACTAAAGATTGATCTTTTTGTTACTATACAATCCATCGATACTTGATATTATCACACTTACACTAAAGATTGATTTTTTTGTTACTATACAATCCATCGATACTTGATATTGTCACACTTACACTGAAGATTGATTTTTTTGTTACTATACAATCCATCGATACTTGATATTATCACACTTACACTAAAGATTGATTTTTTTGTTACTATACAATCCATCGATATTTGATATTATCACATTTACACTAAAAATTTTGGAAAAAAAATTGTGATATTATCGAAAGTGATAGTGATAATAAAGAGGGAGTTTTACACTAGGAAAATCGGTTTCAAACTTTTAGGTGACAATATCGAGGTGTTCTATTAAAAAGTGTGATATTATCGAGGTTAGGGGGTGCACATGGCCGCCATCTCATGGTTACAGCACGAGATATATTTGCAGAGAGTGTTGATGACACAAAACCAATGACTAATGAGAAAATGCCTGTTCTAGGTGATTCTCACGTGGGTAATTTGAGCGGCACTGTTCTAATTAATTTGAATCAACTCTTAGATAGATCTTGGAGAAGCGTTTTTCTCGTTGACATAACTTTTAATTTTTTATCTCAAACCTCTAGATCTGTAAATTATTCTTCAAGATTGGTTCACTTCGAAAACAAAAAAACATTGGCACATAAGAGCATCAGGTAAAGAAGATAATGACTTTTTTTTATTTGAAAAATAAGAAGGTTAGGGTGATAATCTATAAAAGAACTGTTTAAAAACTAACATGCTGATTCAAAGAAAGATTTCCTTAAGTATTATACAACCGCTAGATCTATATATAATTCCTCAAGATAGATATCATGACCTTGAACGATCAACAGTAACTTTTAGACGTCATTTTTTAAGTCTCTTTGGTTCTTAGTTCGGAGAAGACTTCTCTTCACATCCCTAAACAGATATTATCTTCGAAAAGACAGGTCTACAAAGCTTGGAAAAAGAGATTATCTAAATATCTTGAACTAAATCTGAAAACTCATATCAAGAGATAAGAAGGGATAGAATAATCGTACAAGTTTATCTTATCGTGTAGGCCTTTATGGGTCTTCCCATACTCTCAATGTTCATTTGGCCCCCAATTTTGAAGTGAATCAATGAAATTAGGAGAAGTGTTGCTAATTTCAAAGTAGAATAATAGATGTAAGATTTATTTAAGGAGCGCCTAGTTATCCCTAGGTTTATTCTAATTATCCCTCACCCACAATCAAGCACACACGAAGATGCGCGTCATATTCTGAAGCAGGTAGGCCCCGTGTTCTGGAGGTGAGGTGCTTGTGAAACAAAAACGATAGACAGAATTTCAAACCAACGACTTCCATTTGACAGTCCATGTCTTCTCTATGGACTACGCGTTGAGACACGCACAGATGTGGTATCAAAGATCGACTAAGAACCACAATATTGCCACCTCTAGTTCCACCCTGAAGATGAACTAACGCTCCGACCGGGTCGAGTAGAACCCTAATCGATCCACGGGGATCCATGATCGTGAGGTGAACGCGAATGGAGTACCGGCGAGATGGAATCGGGAAATTGGAGCTGCTAGTATTTTCTTGACGAGTAGTCTAGACAAGCAGAATAGGTAGCGAAATGTGGCCAACTAGACGCAAGAGCAAGAGAGCGGGTGCCTGCATCGAGCGAGGAGGAGTAGTGCAAGACACACGAGTAAGAGCAGAGTTTCGCAAGACGGAGTGGAAACCTATGCAACCCACGACGGACCAGCTGGGGTTGCAGCTGAGTTTTTATAGGTCGTTGCTTTATTAATTTTCGGGTCGGGTACAGCCCTCTACCCGGTAACATGAATCTCCAAAAAATTTAATTTTTGTTCTCTGAACGGTACTTAATATAAACTGAGTGATAACCAACACTTAACTTTATTTAATATACATAAATGTAGAATCATAAACTTATCTTAATGCACTCTAAAGAATCGTGCATTTATGTAGTTTGAGTGTATGTTATGAAATTGTTTTTTGGACTGAAACACTCTTACACATTAAGTGAATGTCTGTTCATTCGATAACAATGAACCTGAAATTTCTATGATTTCTCATAGTTAGATTCATAACAATTTGAAGATTCCAGATTCTATACAAGACCCATTGAAGAATAAGATTAAAAATTATCTTATTCTTAATAAGTTATAATTTCTATTATCCAGTATGTGAAAATGTGAATTGAGAGAAAAGGGTTCACAACGGGTTTCAAGTTGTTCATATATCGAAAGGGGAAACTTTTTTATTAATTTAACTTGTATTCCAAAATCAGTGATTTCTATCTTATTTACATTATGGGCCTTGTCAAAGTTGTATGGTGTAAGTCGTAGCATTATGTGAAGACGTACAGCTTTGAATGGCTTGTAGTTTTCCCTTTTGAGCCATCTTTGGTTACAATCTTCGATAGCAACCCTGTAGGTTGTCAGTCTTCCGGACAACAATGTGAGACAACTTGACCACATTGGCAGCTGCTGTAGAC